CCGCACCCCCCTGGCATCATTACACTGGCTGCTGGACCACCCTGGCATCATTACACTGGCAGCCGGACCACCCTGCTCCCCAAATCTGGATCCTGGGTCCAGGCTGCCCTTGACCCACTGCCTGGGGCTTCGCAGCCTGGATCCTAACGACAGGCTATGCTTCAAAATATGCAAAATACCTAACCGCATAAAAACTCACAGAAAGAACCAGAGGGGTGGGCCACAAGGGCAGACAGGCACCCTGGGGTGGGTGAACAGTATCCTTTTCTCCTTCCAACGTGTCCGTCCTCCCAGTCCGTGACAGCACGAATCACTTCAGTGAGCCCAATAAAGAAAGCTTCAAAAGAGAGTGGCCCCACTCTTTCTGGTCCGGGTGCATCTCCGATTCCCCAAACCCGTGGGACACATGAGTTTTCTTTCCAATGGGTGATTCTGGGGTCACCTCCTCCTCTGTGCAGGCTCCCAGGAGCGCACGCCCCAACAGTGACCTAGCAACTCCAAGCACCTTCTGATGTTCCGAGTGAAGACGGGGGAAAGCACATCCTAGTCAGGGGACTGAGGCTGCACTCCTACAGGCAGTCAGGACATGGGCAAGACGAGCGGGGTGCCAGCTGCATCCCCTAAGAAAGAGTCCACACACAGGGGTTACACATGAGCACAGTGGCTTTTATTACTTGACTCTGCAGGCAGGTGCTGGGGAGGGGGTGACAGGGCTGGCTCCTGAAACAGAGCCCACACCCCTGCTCGGGGAAGGCCTCTGGGGCTGCGCTCCCACAGGAGGGGACACCAGTCTCTCCAGACAAGCAACTGTGATATGTGACTGCCAAGTAGGTGGGGACAGAACTGGCCTCGAGGACACAGAGGGACAAGTATCACCAGGATGTGCCTGGAGTGAATGTGGCCCAGTGCCCTCTGGACACACCCTCCCATCACCTCCAGGCCTGCCTCCTCTATCCAGCAGCTCAACACATTGACCCCCTGACCAGTACAAATGTCTGCAAAGGTCTATGGGATGGATGACTGAATGAAATGCCAACCAAGAGCCACAGGCCCCTCAATGCCTGCAGCATGTCCATTCCTGAGGACACAGGCCTCTGTCGTGATCAGAAAACAGTCCCTTCAGGACAGTTACCAGCAGCCACACAGCACAATTCACTGGCTCTGAGTCCCCCCATCTCCCTGTCCTGTGGGCGGAGTAGCTGGACTGCGGTGGCACTCCCAGGGCCTGTGCTAGAAAAGGACAAGTTACAAGTCAGTGTGTCAATGGAGACCCCTGTCAGGACTGAGGGATGGTAGTGGTGCTGGGGGACCGCCTCTCCTTCCCCCTTTGACGCTCCTCCAAACCACAGAGCGTACGAACAGCCCCGGTCTTTCAGCGCACTGACTTCCGGTCTAGAATCCTGGATTGCGGCCTGCCTCCCAACCTGCTTCCAGTACCAGGTACCACTCCTCATCCTTCAAGGCCAGCTCAGTAACCGCATGCGCAGGACACGCCCCACTTCCCTGCAACCCCAGTGCCAAGTGCTCTCTCTGGATCCCAGCCCACACCTGTTATGCTGGACACGCCTCCTTTGCTCCCAAAGCCTGGTCATAGATTCTACTGAACTCACACAGACCTGGAGGAGCCCTTTTGCAAGTCCCCAGGGCCAGCTCCTGATCTTACAGATGACCTGCACGTGTGGGTCCAGGCCAAGGCCACAGCTTGCGAAAGGACCAAGTCCCACCCCTCAGCTTCCCATCCTATTCTCCTTCAGCAACCAAAGCAGCAAGCAGGAAAGCAGTTCCCCATGAATGCTTCTCGGCCTTCAATCCTGCCTGCTACCTGAGGCTCTGCTGCCAGGCACTCCACAGAGCTGTCCCCAGAAAACCTAGTGTCCAGAAGCCACAGGACCAATCTCCCCACAACTGCCTGCATACGTGCCTGCTTCCTCCAATGATGCAGGCTGACCACTGCAGGGACTCCCGAGGACCTGGCCATCACAAAGGACAGTGGCCAGGAACCACCTCCATGATCAGTCAGAGTCTGCCCAGACTGGCCCTCCCTTCCCACTTATCATTTCTTTCTGTGTTCCAGTCTCTGCTGTAAGTCAGATCACACCAGCCAGACTCCACCTGCTGCACACGTGCAGCTCAAAGAATAACAAACCCAACTCCGGAGCACCCACCACTCAGGTTAAAGAACATCTGATGGGCATTATTTCGGAAGGGGGATTCTGAGGTGGGGTGGAGGTGGAGGAAGACCAGAAAGCAGGAAAAAGGTTTCTGCAGCAGCTCAGGAGTATCAGACAGAGAGGATGCGGCGCTGCTGTTTGTTGAGATCTAGTTTGCAGAAAAGGTAACTGAGGCAAATAACACTAACCAGTGGGAAGCCAGGCTGCCCCCCTCCCTGTCTGGCTTTTTGCACAATAGAAAGTGAAGCCAAAATGCCTTCACTTGGGTGCCACACCCAAGTCTCCCCCCACTCCCAAACCACAGAGGTCCCCCAACCCCAACCAGGGTTCTTGGGCTCCTGTGCATCTAGCCTCTGGGCCAAGGGAGCTTAGGGAGGTGGTGCTTTTCAGGGTCTGTCCGGATTTTATAGGCCTTGGCTAGCTCCCCCATCACATTCCCAAAATATACAACAGGTCAGTGCTGGGACACTGATCACGTTGGTACCACAGACACTTGGG